ATTTTATAATGATGATTTATTATTATTATTATTTATTATGATTATTATTATGTTGCTTGATTATATTTATTGTTATTGCTTGGTCACACCTTTTATGCATGTTTAAAGGGAATTGGTACTTGTAATCACGCTTAATAAGATAATTAATAATCTTATTTAGGGTTAATACACTACGTGAAAAAACGAATTTGGCACCGGTTCAAACCCGGCCTAAGGCACCAGTTTGAACCGGTGCCAATGTGGGGGGTGCCAAAAAGGGGTTTAAAAAGGCACCGGTTCAAACCGGTGCCAAAAAGTACCAAAAATTTTTATTTAACGGTTTTTGGCAACGGTTAACCGGTGCCAAAAGTGCCAACATATTAATTTTTTTTTTTTTTACTTAAAAATTAAATCTGTATTAATATTAATATAACAAATCTGTTCATTATAATATCAATATATATAATCAAAAAAAATTACAGTATAATCAAATCTTAATAATAACCAAAAGTGCCAAAATATTAATATAATCAAATCTGTTCATTTTATATATATAATCAAAAAAAATTACAGTATAGATCAAAATAAATTACAACAGCTAAATCAAAATAAAAAAATTACAACATATAAATAAAAAAAATACAATATAAATAAAAAAAAAAAGAAGAAAATCAGTTGATTCTTCGATTTAAGATTAATATACTTGCATGTTGATTCTTCAATTTAAGAACTAAATCCATATACCTGCACCAATTAAAACTAACATGAATCAACTCAAAAACCCAGAAAATCGAAAAAAAGAAAAGAATAACCCAGAAAATGAAAATGAAAATGAGTTCAATAAAGAAAATGAAAATGAAAATCAGTTCAAAAAAGAAAATGAATCGGAAAAAATAAAAAAATAAAAACCCAGAAAATCCAAAAAAAAAAAAAATCATTTCAAAAATCCAAAAAAAAACCCAGAAAATCGGAAAAAAAAAAAAAAGAAAGAAAGAAAGAAAGAAAGATAGAAAATCAGTTCGAAAACCCAGAACATCAATTACAACCCAGAAAATAAAACCCAGAAAATCAATTAAAACCCAGAACATCAATTAAAACCCAGAAAGTAAAAAAAAAAATCGACAAAAAAACCCAGAAATTAAAAAAAAATTCGAATTAAAATAAGTTTAAAAATTGATTAACCAAACTAGAAAATCAAAAATCACTTTAAAAAAAAATAAATTTAAATTGATTAAAATAAAAAATAAATCGATTAAAATAAAAGAAAATTCGAAAATCAGTTAACAACCCAGAAAATGAAAAAAAAAACGAATTGCGTTGGTGGTGGCGGCTTTGCGGTTGTTGTTGCATGTTGTTGTTGTTGCGGTGGTGTTGTTATTGTTGTTGTTGCCGTGGAGTTCGAAGAGAAAGAGAGAGATTAAGGGAGAGCAGAGGAGAGATCGAGAAGGTGTTGTTGCGGTGGTGTTCGAAGAGAAAGAGAAGAGATTAAGGGAGAGCAGAAGAGAGATCGAGAAGGGAGAGCAGAGGAGATAGAAGGGAGAGGAGAGAGTAAAGAGGCGGAGTGAGAGGAGAGATAAGGAGATCAGTTTTTTAGGGTTATAAAATGAGAGGAGGCGGCCGATTTTTTTTTAAATAATTAAAGGTCTGGTTCACAAAGGCACCGGTTCAAACCGGTGGCCTTTATGATTTTGGCACCGATTTGAAGTGAACCGGTGCCTTTTACTCTGGTTTAGCTTCCCACCAATTTTGTAGTCCATTTTTGGCACCGGTTTGGACTGAATCGGTGCCAATTAGGGGGTGCTTTTTTGATATTTTCTACTAGTGATATGATTATAATTCAAGTGATCGCCAATAATAGTTTTATTTGTGCATTAATATTCAACCAACATAGATAAACAGGTTTAGGATAAACCTATTGATTGCATGTTAGTCAGGAAGCGCACATGAATACGATCAGAATAAAGTAGAGGCCTATTATTAGGGCAGGTTCAATCTTTTAGGTTGGATTTGTACCTTCATCCCTGAACCCTGTTTGATTCAAGACCTTATGGAGTTGACGATCTCTTGGATCGTTAAGGGGTGTAACCTTCACCTCGTGAACGGTTTACAAGTTCTTAAAACTTGTTGGCGACTCTTTTGCTCTATCTTCTTTCCCTTTGGACGCCACCGTACTTTAGTGTATGATCACAGTGGGGTTCGAGCTAGGGGTAACGCTTGAAATATTCCCTATAGAGATTAAATCAGGCTACTACTTTGGATATTCCTTCTTCCTCAACTTCTCAAATTCCTAGAATTTGGTTTCCACCTTAGAAAGGCTACTTCAAGCTAAACACTGACGGTTCTTGGATGTGTATGGAAAATGCTGGAGGGGGGGTGTCATTAGGTGTGACAAAGGCATTTGGATCACATGATTTGCAATGAAGTTCAATGCCATGACAGCCGCTTCTGCTGAACTTTTGGCCGTATGGGAGGGCTTGCTCTCAGCTTGGGAAAAGAAGATTCGATACCTGGAACTAGAGATTGATGCTGACAGTTTGACCAAGATGTTGAAGGACCCTAAGTCTTTTGAGGATGGGGATTTGGGAAACATAATTCTTGATGTTGCTTCCTTCTTACAGAGGGACTGGAATGTTGTTGTTTTTCATGTTAGCAGGTCTGTTAATTATGTTGCAGACAGGTTAGCTATGATGGGAAGAACGAAGTTCAAGACTGGTGAGAAGGTTCCCTTCTCTCATCCTCCTCATGAAGTGTACCAGACCTATGCCATGGAAATTCCAGAATTGCAGGCTCCCTAGTTATGATGTGCATCTCGTCAATAGTCCTCCTTATCTTTTGAACTATCTTTTATTCTGCTCTTGTTTATGTTATTATCTTTTGTAGAGGGATAAGCTTAGATGACTTTGAGTGGTTTCTATTGCCCTCTTACTATCCCCATTTTGGTCTGATGAAATCATCAGATTTATCATCATTTTTTTTAAACGAGATTTATCATCATATAATATAATGATTTTTCCCTTTTGCGTTAAAAAAACTTATGTAATGCATGATTTTATTGTATTTTATTTGAAAAAAATTTAATGTGTGAGTTTAAAATTCCATTTTTTGTGTTGTAATTTTTTTTTTTTTCAACAAGTGTTTTCAATCTTTAAGGGACCATTTTCAAAATTCATGAAGGCAATGTGTCTTTAATAAGTAATCTATTCAAAAAAGGGTAATTCATATTAAAACGACAAATTTAACAGCTAATTAGATAACTTAATTATACATGTAAATAAATTGAATTCGAATCCTTAATAGTCTCTCTATTCTTGGATATATTTCATGATATTATTTTGTGGACATTTCCTTAAATGTTTATTTCATTTCTTAATATGCCAATTGTTTCTCTCTAGTATGCCAATTGTTTCTCTCTACTTTTTCCCCAAACATCGGGATCCATAAGTCCATAACTGTTGTTAGCTATTTTGCTCTGAACATTGGAAGGCGAATGAGTACAGACCTAAAAGTAGTTTATTGTTGTAAAGGAAGCCTATAGAACATGATACTTCTCATACAATGGTTAGGTTACTCCTCGTGACTATGCAACTCTGTCATGTAATGTAACATAAAATTGTTGTTGCCTGGTTAATTGATGAATAATTGATTGCGTCACATAAAATACATAATAGACAAAAGAGCACATGTTAAAGATCAAATTTGATCACAAACATTAAAAAAAAAAAAAAAAAAAAAAAAAGCACTAAAATTAAAACGTGTCAATTAAATTAATCTAAAACAAAGAAAGTACTGTAATTTGCCTTTGTAATTTAGAAATGACAACTTTCAAACGGTCTAATCCAAAACTTGGACCAACCAACCTGCCTCAATTTCCAAACATAAATGTCAACCAATTCAATACTCGTAGCGTAATACCACAGCCACATTCCAACATCCCCTGTTTTCTCACTTCGACGAATTTAAATAATGCATCATCGGTCCACCCTCGCACACGGATAGTCCACCTTACACACAGCTGTGCTTCCTTTTCCCCCATATTTTAACTATTTCTCATACTCCATAATTCTATTTCCGTATGAACTTGTGAGTACTCTGTTATCTGTATTTTGTACTGTATATACGAGCGTTACGTCCGCAATTAAATTACATTTTTAATCAAAATAAACTTGGTCTAACGGAAAAGTTTGGTTAGGGGTTCAATTCTTACTAAAAAAACACTTCAAGTTGTCATAACCTAATACAATCGATCCTAAAAGTATTCGATTTCAATTTTAATTTGCATGGACACAATAATATTGTAAACTCAAATTTGAAATAGACTTTATCCGGCCCGACCTCATCAAATCTAAACCGAACATTCATATTAACACTACTATAGCTCTAATATTACTCCCTCCGTCCCTAAATTACATTCTTGATTCTAGTATTTATTCCTCACATTGTTCTCCTCTATAAATACTAGAAACAGGAATGTAATTTAGGGACAGAGGTAGTATCTTTCATTACAAAAAAAAAGCTCTAATATTATCCTTAAGCATTAATAAATTTCCAAAATACAAAATCATGCATTAATCACCAAAACATTTTTTTTACATTTAGAGCTTAATAAAAGCTGTCATCATCAGGTTTTAAAAAACAAAAAGGTTTTTTTAAGCTATACCCCTGAGGTATTCGATTTTCTAAGGTGTACCCATGCTTTTTCAAGTTTCTAACTTGTGCCCTTCAACTCCTTATCAATACTAAAATGTACCCTTATTAGTTGTTTAAAAGTTATTTGAGAGTGTGATTTCGTGGCTTCAATTTTCATTATTAGGGTTGCGGTGACTAAGATTTCTTTCTCCTACCATTTCCTTACCTTTTATCATATTTCTATTAAATTTATAGTTAACTTTAGGTGACGTAGAAGTCTCAAGGAGGATACCATTCATTAATGGTAGTGAGTTGAGGGGCACAACTTAAAAATTTTAAAAAACATAGATACACCTTAGAAACTCGAATAACTTAGGGGTATAGCTTAGAAAAAAAAAAAAAAAAAAAAAAAAAAAAAAAAAAAAAAAAAAAAAAAAAAACTGTCATCATCAATTTTTCAAATATTTTAATCCAATCATATTCCACACGCCAATCCTTACCTTCTTAACATACCTTTCCAACTTCCCCCCTTTGACTAAACACTCTCCTAACCTCTGACCATTGACTTTTTGACTCCACCTCCTTATAAAACCCCTCCTTTCTTCCTCTTTCTCTCTCCTCAACAACCCACCATCTTTCTCTCTCCTTTCTCTGCAACTCACATTTTCTCTCTCCTCCATGAAAATGGCGAGACCTCAATCCGAGCTTTGCATCAGCATCCCAACCTACTTCCGCTGCCCAATCTCTCTCGAACTCATGAAATCCCCTGTTTCTCTCTCTACTGGCGTCACCTACGATCGCACCAGCATCCAAACATGGCTCGATGGCGGCAACACCACTTGTCCTGCTACGATGCAATCTCTCTCCTCGCCTTCCTTCGTCCCTAACCTTACGCTTCATCGTCTGATTCATCTTTGGTCGGTCTCTCACTCTCTCTCTCCTCGGATTCATCTCTCGGCGATTCTGAAGGAGGTGGAGTATGCGCGTGATGTTACTCTCTCGTTGAAGAAGATTCTCGAACGAGTGGCGAATTCTGAGGAGGATTGTAGAGTTTTGGAGAGGTATTTGGATTTGATTGTGAAATTGATTGTGAAATCTGATGAGAAAATCGAGAATCTGGAGTTGATCTTCATGATTTTGAGTTTTTGTGATGGCCAGAAGATTAACAACAAATTGATGATGAATTCTGGTTGTTTTGATAAATTCGTTGTTGTTTTGCGAAATGGAAGCGTCGAATCGAAGATCGCAGTCGCTAAAATTGTGTCGAAAATCGCCATTGATAAGAAAACAATAACCTCGTTGATCGAAACGCGGAGTTTGATTGTTGAGCTTTACAATTTGATCAAATGTGATTCAGATTCTTCAATTGAAGCTGGATTAATGGCGCTAATCGCAATCGCAACCACAAAAGCGTCGAAAATGGAGGTGGTAAGGTTAGGGGTGGTGCGTAGAGTATCCGAGATCATCTGCGACGCAGGGAGAAATGAAACCATGGTTATTCAAAAATCATTGGAGATGCTAGAGGTGATTGCCACGTGTACGGAGGGAAGAGCGGCGATCATTGAGGCGGAGAAATGTGTGGTGGAGATCGTTCGGAGGTTGATGAAGGTGTCGGCGAAGGCGACCGAGCACGGTGTCGCGGTGTTGTGGAGTGTCTGCTATCTATTTAGGGATGAGAAGGTGAAGGAAATATTGGGGAAGAACAATGGTTTAGGGAAGTGTTTGGTGTTGCTTCAAAGTGATGTTTCACCAATTGTTAAGCAAATGTGTGGTGATTTGGTGAAGATTTTGAGGGTTAATTACAAGTCTTGTTTGGGTGGTTATGATACCAAAACCACTCATATTATGCCATATTAAATGTTGTAATGAAGATTTTAGGCAAGCAAAAGAATGAAAAAAGTTGGAAGAAATGCAAATTTAAGTTAGAATTTGGGGGTAGGTTAGGGTGGAGTTAGATAGGGTTAAAGATTTCATTGTTAGTTCAATGGAAAAACTTGTAAATTTGATACAAAATTGACCAATACATCATACGTGAAAATACTTGGATTAAAGAAATTTATGTCTACAGGCAACAAGTTATGTTTCTTGACAATATATATTGTGTAATTTGAAGTAGTGTTATCCGGTAAAAATGTTGTCTAGTTCTTGATAGAAGTAATTTGTTGAAAACATTTTGTGTACGGGAAGTAATAAAGGTATTTGTTAGAAAACCAATTCAATGTTAGCTTAACGTATGGTTGTAAACAAAATAAATAAATACAATTGATATTCCATCTCCAAAATAAATAAATAAAATTGATATTTCATCTGCTTCAATTGACAGATAATGTGGCTTTAGAATCAATGGAGAACTCGTTTTCATTGCTTCATCAAGACTCAAGTTTAATTGCATTTTTCGGTTACAAAAACTTCCTACTATGGTGAAATTGTTTAGGAGCTCTTTGACACGCTAGTGCTTTTTTTTTTTTTTTTTTTTAATTATAAACGGGTTGAATAGGACTCTAATCAAATTTGGAGGATCATAAATCTTGATTAGAGTCCAACTCAAAGTCTTTAATTCAACTTATTTTAGAAATGTTTTACTTAATTTAATTAAAATCGTACCAAATCAAACCATACCAAAGAATTTATTTTCAATTTCCATTAGTAAATACCTTTAACTGCATATTAATAATAATAACAGTGTGAATATTATATATTTGTGAAGTACAAGTTGTAAACTTGTGATGAATGTTACAATACTCAGTTGATAGTAATTTTTCTTATATTTAAGGTAAGATAAAATCAAATCAAATCGAACCTTAATAAAATCAAATCAAAACATCTTATTTGGTTTATTGAAAAACATTTAATAATGGAATTAAGGAAAAGTTTTTGTTAATTTTGAAATTTATGTTAGCTAACGCCTAACGTATACGAAATACTTAATGATTGCATCTGTCACAGTTGGAAGTAATGCGTCTTTAAAGAGAATGGGAAACTTGTTTCAAGCGGCTTAGCTTTAAGAATAATGAGGAACTCGTTTTAAATTAACGCGGCTTTAGAAAGAATGGGGAAATTATTTTCATTGCTTCATCAAAACTCAAGTTGAATTGCAATTTTTAACTTGTCTTATTATATTTATACTATATCAAATCTTTTTATTTTTATTTATTAATTAGAAATATCTTTAATTTACGTGCGATTTCATAAAATAATTATGAAAATTACATTTTTGGAGGATACAATTTAAGAAAAATTTCTTTCATTATTGTAATGCGGTTAAAGTTATCTCACCACACATCTACGTCATATCAAACTTTAACTAGACTTATTTTTAATAAACTTAAATCAAAACATGAAGAGGACAAGTTCTCAAATTCCTCCATTATCTCACATAATAACTAGAGTTGTTTAAAATAAAATGGGCCGAATTAGGCCAAGAGAGCCAATACATTCTTCAAGTCGGAAAAAATTGATTATAAGGTCTGAACCTTTTACAACATGTCTTTGATCACAATTGGTTTTTAGTTGAATGTAAACCTTTGAAATTCACTCAGCTAATATTTCTAACTTTTCATAAAAGCTACTTTCATCACTAAAAGCTACCCTAATCACTACTTTGCCAAATACTTATATTTTTTTGTTAAGTAGTTATTTGACCAAGTCAAACCACTAAAAACTACCTAAAAGCTACTCAAACGCTAGTGCCGAACACGCCCTAAATTATATCATAGCTATTTAAAATTTGACTTATATCAAAAAGAAGTCGTAATCATTATCCTTTACTCTTTTTTTTTATTCCATATTATTATACGGGAAAAAAGTCATCAAAAGTACAAAATAAAATTTTAAACGGGTCTAAATCGGTAAAATCCCATTCCAATATTCTCGTTATTAGTCCATTTTTGAATTTTAAATCTACCTATTTCGCTATAGAGTTTTCAAATAGATTATGAGCATCTTATCTTCTTGGGAACGAATATTGTCTCACTCCCACAAAACCACTAGGTCCACTACCAATATTGTGCTTGTGCAAGATACTCGCACTAAGTAGCATCACCAATTCACCATTAGTCATACAAACAACGCAATGGATGTACAATATTTATTATGGCCGAGAGTTTATCATATATATTTGATAAATTATTGTCATATCCTTAACATCCAGGACACATTCTCTGCCAAAGTCAAAAGATTCACCCCTAATGCTTCATGATCCAAGATCTTTCTTTCCAAAATTCCATATTCTTCAAAGATTCATATTCATTCGTTCTTCAATGATTGACGTATTTTGTCTAGGGAGTTGATACAATTCGAATAATTGGTCAATGTGAGGCTTTCTATACTTAAAGTGCTTCTCGTTAAATTTGTCATCTTTTAACTTCTATCGTTCATATAGCGGATACCATAGCAATTTGTAACCTCTCATAAGCCAATACAATTAGATGTAAGAAAATAGTTAGAAAATTAGAATGTGGAGAATAGGGTAAAGAAATTCACACCCTCAAGTTGCCCCTAGTTGGGGATTGATTCGACACCCCCATGATATTTATTTGTGAAACACAATCCTTAGTTCCTTACCATTAAATCAAGTACTTTGAATTACTTTTTGAAAGAAAAATATATCTTGCCAAATATCGAAATCTTTTAAAAGTCAATCAAAATCAAATAAGTGAGCAAGTACTAATTGCCTTGTGAAAAGTGAACCATTGTTCTAATAATTTGATGCATTTATTTGAATTTAAGGATCCCTAATCACACAGTTAAACAATGGAATGTTCACAAAATTGAAACTCTAATCTTAATAGAGTTAATTACATAGGTTTTGGTCTACTCCTTGAATGTCAAACACCAAGTATAAATCCTTTTAAAATTAAGTGAAAACACTGTATATAGGTTTAATTCATATCAAAACACTCCCTTATCATGAGTAACACAAGGGTTAATGATCCCTAACCTTAGGAATAGTTTTAGAATATCCATTGATTTTATTAACGAGTAACGTACCTAAAAATATTTTCACCTTATATGTTATGAGTATTAACAAATCTAAAATTTTAGTTCCAATATGCACTGATTCGGGCCTACATATATACTTTTTTTTTTTTTTGTTAAGGGCCACTAAGTATATTATAGAGTATAATAAGAATATCTATTAGGTTACTTCGGGGCTTTACAGTTTATCGGTACATCTTAGGATACTTTTAAGTTATAATAGAGTAATAAACATCTTCTCATCAATACCAAAATTTGAAACTACAGCAGAAAAATCATAATAACTTGTAAAAAGCCAAATAATATTTAAAACAACAATATAAGGGAGCATAATCTAAACAAAATGTAATTTTTAAAATAGACTGTTTTCCTATAAATTAACAGAATATAGCCATACAATATAGCTCGACAAGGCTAGCCTAGAAGCATAAGAACACTAACGAGCCCTCACATTTCCTCGTGATTCTTCAAGACCTCACAGTACCAATCTCAGTGATCAAAGATATCACGGCCAGGCGAAAACTCACTAAACCAACCTCTAATAGCTCATCAAAGATTCCCTGAGTAGCACAAATTTGTGTAACTGCCACAATACGAAACGGTACCAGAAGAATTTGGAACAACACCCACAAAATCAATAATTGTCCCGTGTAGCTTTTAGTCAACTAGAAGACCTTGGTGTTCCTCACTCTATATTCAGTATCCTGCCAAAGAATTCTAGATGTGCAAAGCAACTATACTCTAAAAAAAGGGTACATCACCTTTGTCTTCATCTTCTAGAAGACGAAATATAAAGACAACCAAAAAACAACCTCCAAATAAACAATTCAGTAAACACACACAACACCCCCCCCCCAATTTGAACAAAATCATTCACAATAAAGTAGGAACACTCGCAGCCACAATAACAAAAACATCATGTTTTTAGCATGGGAGCATTAGCCTACAAATCAAATTTCAACTTTTTCTATTATTCATTAGCCAAATCACCAAAGAGTTCCTAACTAGATGTGACAATCAAAAAGGATTTTTCCCTCCAAAACTCTATTCAATACACCCGACCCAGATAATCCAATTTCAACTATTTTACAATTCGTTTTCCAGATCACCAAAGAACACTTGCTTATATAGATCTAATTCATAAAACTCGAGTCTCAGGGAGTAATTGCAGGAATATGTAATGCAACAAGAACCACACAATTACATGAAGTAACTAACTAACTACGGACTAAAGTTATTTAGAATAGGGAATGAGCTCACCATAATCAAGAAGCCCAATAAAAGATTTTGGACATCAACTTTGCATCACTATTTAGAGTTGGCATCAACAACATATCCATAAAATTGTACTAAAATGAAATTAGAGTTTCATAAATTCAGCATGATGATTTATGTATAACACAAAACCTAATAACAGATTTTTCATGAAAAACTTAACGTTGTGCATCACCTTGAGATAAGGGTAATTCATGTTCTTTATGCACCAAGCTACAGAAAGGTAAAAAAAATGGCACATAGGTGGACAGGCACAGAAGGCACACACACACACACACAGGTAGACAGGCACAGAAGGACACACACACACACAGAGTGAGAGAGAGAGAGAGAAAGCAGCTTAGCAGTATCCCAACAAAACAGCACAGAAAAGAACTCAGGAAGATGAAAATAAAAAAGCCATTAGACATACCATTCCACTCTAGCATGTGCCTATACTCTATATGACCAAAGATATCATATTATTCGACCACGCTAAAACAGCATTCATCACTTCTGCCTGAATTGATTAATTGAATTCTCAGCAGGAACAGGACAAGTAGCTCACTCCCCTAAAAACAAGAGTGTAGAACGATTCCCATGGCCATTCGTAATTCTCACTATCATATCCTTGAGCCTAATAGGAACTTAAAGTAGGGAAAAGGACCAACTTTCAAGAACTACCCCACTGGTCAGGACCTTGTTAACAAACAGGCATGCATGATAACAAGCGTATACACATGATCAAAAAAGAGCCAATCTCTGTAAATTGATCAACCTATAAGATCACGGATCTAGAAATGACCAGAGTTTCCATTCGTCTAGCAGATTACAAAAGGAACACCCTGCCTCACTGCACCCTCATATTCATCTTGCTGATGAATTCCAAAGAGCTTACAGGACCACAAATAAGGACAACATTAGCAACAATGGAACCCAACCATGTACCCAAAAACGACCACAAAAGGCAAATACAGCCTGCCAAAAGCACAAAACAATTAATGCCATAATAACATTGAAATTTGAACAAGCATCGAATTAGGATAAGAAATTACCCAGCTCAATCCTTTTCCAAAATTTGTTTTAAAATTGCATTAGGCAGGGGGGGGAGAGCAAAGGATAATGCCACAAGAACAAAAGAGCTTGCACCCTTCCAGTTACACGTTCACAGATCATAGCAACCAAAATGGATATATACTCAGGAACAAGGCGCTCACAACCCAGTCATATGTCCCATTAACCCACACCAAAACCAAACAGCAGCGAAGAAAGAGCAATGCACGTGCATGTAAACAGCCAGGTATAGCAGCGAAAACAAGATTCATATATCTAAAGAGCCAAATCAGAAGTCTCCACTAAGCAAGCATAAGATCGCATCATAACATCACTGAGCTCCTGAAACAGAAAATTTTCCCACACTGGGACAAATGGCTTTCCTGATGTAGATACAGAAAATAGTTCAACTCTAATTACGCATTCCAAGTCTGAAACCACATAAGATGTCTTCCATTAAGTACAACACAGTAAAAAGCTCCTTCTCTTCATGAAGATAATCTTGTAGAACAGACATCCTCTGCACAGCTGGAATCAAAATGATAATTGGGTAAGAATAGGATAGTAGTAAATGACAAGCCACAAGCAGAAAGACTGTTACATACCTATCGTCCTTTCAAAGCATTAGCGGTAGCCACCAGATCCTGCACGGTCATATGGGCCAGAACGGTCACGGCTGTACCTATCACTTCCATATCCTGCTCCACGACTACCAGAATCTCTGTAACGTCCACCACCACCTCCACCACCACCTCCACCACCACCTCCGCCGCTGTAGCGATCCCCACCTCGGTCAGGTCCATAGCTGCCACCACCTTTTCTTTCTCCTCTCCCACCATATCTGCCACCACCCCTACCACCATCATCAGATGGACATTCACGAGCAAAATGTCCGGGCTTACCACATTTAAAACAGTCACCACCACCACCAGATCCCCTTGAACCTCCGCCAAACCCACGGGGGCGTTCACGATCACGGTCACGATCGCGATCACGACCACCACGATCGCGGTCACGGTCATAGTCCCCATCTCGGTCCCTAGAAGAGGCTTGCGTAGGTTGAGCCCTTTCTACAGTTATGGGACGTCCATCTAAATCCACGCCATTCATTTCCTCAATAGCTTCCTCCATAGCTCTCTTGTCATCAAAAGAAACAAAACCAAATCCACGAGATCGTCCAGAAAATTTGTCTAAAACAACCTGTATTAAAAGTAGAAGCCGCTGGTCAGGATTTGATGAAACCAAGAAAAAGAACCTAAAATCAATCAAAAAGAACCTAAGAAAACTAAAATTAATAGAGCTACTGCAAATCAAAAGATACAAACACAGTTCTACAAATAAGAATTCACATTTTATAAAACACTATTGAAACTAACTCGATTCACCACTATACAACACTACACAATCACTGATTGATCAACACAATTCCATCAGTAATATTAAAATTGAAGCCAATATGAAGCTATAATTTGCAAATTTTCTTAAGAAAATAGTTACTATTAAGTCTACCAGCAATATGCAAAATTACAGTTAAAATACCAAAATAGCGCATAGGAAGACCATTTCATACTGCATAGCCAGGGTCCATCCAACATTCAGGCAATGAACCCATACACACAATGAACCCATACACAAGAAAGATAACAAATAATTCTACCCTTTTACAACCACTTACACATACCCAAAAAATAAATAAATAAATAAATAAATATAAAAAAAAATAAAATTAGTTATAGAAATGTAGAAAATAAACGTAGATCACTACAGATTCAATATAGACAGCACCAAAAATTTATCATAACCCAATATTTTATCATGTTGATCAGATTTGCACAGCCCTAATATTTTATCATGTTGATCAGATTTGCACGGCCCTTATTATTTTTATATATTACCTCCGTTTCTTATTATGTGCAACAAAAGGGTATTATTTGTGAGATATAAAATATTCCTTTGTTGCACATAATAAGAAACGGAGGTAGTATATATATATCAACATGACCTATTTCACACCACAAAGTAAATAAACTTGGTAAATAACTAAATACCACAAGGATCATACTAACATGAATGCATTAATCAATCTAGGATCTTATTAAAAAAAAACTATAACAAATGCCCAACAAAGGAATTAAAAATCTTACTTTCGCTTCAAGCAGACGACCATATTTTTCAAATGCATCTCTCAAACCTCTGTCAGTTGTAGACCAAGAAAGGCTTCCAACGAAACAGCGAAATTCATCCACGTCTCCCATGATTTTATCTACAGAATACAAATTAGGTGAACAACATTTCCATCAAAAATCTTCCAATTGAAAAAAAAGGCATCAAAAGAAGAGCAGTATTGAGGTCATGAGGTGTATATAAAATCCAAAGAAGTACACATTGTATCAAAAAATTAGAATCATGCACAAGAAGCAGATAAGTATTCAGATTATGCTTATAACCAACGCCTATCAGGACAACCATATTTTTCAAATGCATCGCAATTTTTCAGTCTTTGTAAGAAGATGGGTAAAAGTGAACCCCACATGAATTGAAACACTTATAATAAACCATCTAATAGCCCACCCTAACCCATTTCCAACCCTGCCACCTCCCTCTGCCACTGCAAAAAGCCACCACTACCACTAAATCACATCAAAATGAAAGAAACCAATCTATATGCAATTCAAAATTAATGGACAATAATCCAAATCTAAGGGAAAAAAATGGAGTGATAGACATCCAACCACCACCACACAAACAACACATCTTCCTCCACTCCTCAACCCCAACACCGCCTCCACAACCACCATCTTGCAGCCATCAATACCATCATCCATCCTGTCCCATCAACAGCATTCTTTTCTCCTTCACATCTTCCTTTTGTAACTTATTACAGAACACAATTTTCAACACACATATCTTAATAACTATTTTTAGAAGCTCAGTACTCTCAGTCTCTCAGCCTATCTCTCCACTCCCAAAAACCAATCTCTTTTATTTCAACTATCGAGTCATTGAGATCAACAATTGACCAATACTTTAAAGCAAGCTAAGGATCTGAAATACACTCCAACAAATGTGCAAGCAGTAAGTCTGCTTAAAAAAAATGGATACTCTCCCCTTCTGCCTTCGACAAGGGATTCAAATAACTACTCACATTAACCTCTAACAAGTGTATGTGTCCTCTGCGATAAATTGATATCGTAGTTTACCCCCCCCCCCTAATATGTCCAGTTAATAAGATCTAACGCAAGGCCAACCGACTTCGATTACGAGCCACGAACCCCAAAAAACTAATACTCTAACCCCTCACAAGCACCGAATATTGATTACGAACCCCAAATTCCAATACTCTAACCTCTCGCAGGCACCAAAGATTAACGCTGCCACAAAATCAAATCACATAAACAGCATCAATCTGCTTGTCTATCCAGCACAATGATATCATATTCATGAATCACAGAACTCTCAATCGAAAAGGCATGAAGTTCAACAAAATCAATGAAGAAATAAAATTAGGTTTTCAAATCAAATTTATTCAAACAAAAATAACACACAATTAAGAAATTCATGCTATTGATTAAAAAACATATTGTTCAGAACAGAATTAAGCAATTAATCAACAAAAAGGTAGAAATTTATCACAGATCTGACCTCAAAACAATGAAATTAAATCAAACAAAGAAGAGGAAATCAATCGATAAATTATGATGAGAATTCAGATCTAATTATGAAGCACCGACAAATATAATAGAGAGATTGCGTAATAGAGAGGAGAGAGAAAGGAGAACCTTGAGTGGTGAGTTTACGATAAACCCTAATTGGCCAGAGTCGAACAGCAAAACTCAGGATGAATGTTTTTAGGCTTCTGAGAAGGCCATATAAATATCTACTAGGTGTTGAGTCAATGCGTGGCGTTTAGGGATGACGTGGCTGAAATGCTAGATATTTTAGGTCCGATTCGGGTTAAATTTTGGGTCGATTTCAGACTGTTTACTTTATAGGTGATCATTGGGCGAGTCAAGGCCGAGCCGATGCTAAAAAATCAGCCCACTTCTCGGCCGGACCGGGTTGGGCCAAGCTTCGAGTTGGATATGTTATGCCCAAACCCACCCAAAATAGTTGGGTCGTGTGGGCTTTCGGGCCATACAAATTCTTCTATGGTCCCTATTCCATTTAAAATAGCTAGACCCCTATTAAAACACAACCTTATATAAATGAAACACAACTTTATTCTCTTCTTCTTCCCACCATCTTTACAAAATGTTGTTTTTTTTTTTTTTTACATAAACTCTCTCTCTCCCCCTCTTTCTTTCTTTCTCTTTTTTTTTTTTTATCTAATCTCTTTTTATTTCTTTATTAAATTTACTTCATTTTTTTTTTTCAAATTCTTATTTTCTCTCTCCTCTGTCCTTTGAATTTTTTTTCCATTAAATTTCTGCATTTAACGTGATGAAACAATTTTAAATTCCCAAAGATATCAATCCAGGTTTGTTATTATGAACTCATGGTGATCAATATTAATTTATTTTTTGATTTTGAGATGAATTTGTGGATGAAATGATTGTTTTAATATCAATTGAATTTGAGAAAGCTAATTTGATTGATTTCAATTCGTAATCAATTACCTGATTATTTTTACTGTTCTCATTAATTTGTATGTATTTTTTTTATTTTGAGATGAATTTGTAGATGAAATCATTGTTCTAATATCAATTGAATTTGTTGAAGTTAGTTCAATCGATCAATTCGTATCTATTATGATCGATTACTTGATAATTTTGAACATTTAGTAAATAAAATCTGAACAACTGCAAATTTTGAACATTTAAAAAAAATCTGAACATCTAAATTTTTGAACATTTAGTGAAGATATCTGAATAATCGCAATGTACTACGCCTATACTTTTGAACATTCGGTAAAAAGATCTGAACAATTGCAAATTTTGAACATTTAGTAAAAAGATCTGAACAATCACAATGACCACGCGTATACTTTTGAACATTTTGTAAAAAAATCTGGACAATTGCAAAATTTGAACATTAAGTAAAAAAATCTTAACCTCGAAAATTTTGAACATTTAGTAAAAATATCTGAACAATGTCAATGTATGTCTATACTTTTAAACATTTTATAAAAAAAATCTGAACAATTGCAAATTTTGAACATTTTGCACAAAAATCCGAACACTGAACCACATCCATACTTTTGAACATTTGGTAATAAAATCTGAACAATCGCCTGTGGTCCAGCTATCCTAGATGGACCAGGGTGCACAATAGAATTATTGTTTCGGGCCAAGCCAAAAAAAATCAACCAAAAATGCATAAAACACATTCCCAAACTCGTCTAAAAAAAAATTCTAAATTAATAATAAAAAAAAAACAGTCTAAATTGTAAATTTTGCCCAAAAACTTGTTAGGCAGTCGATCGGACAAACTTTGATCAGGTCTAGTTAACTTGTTTAGTTTTGATTTTCGATGTGGTTATGGTTTTTCTCATCATGTTCGGCTCGGATAAGATATCAATTTATTTGATAACTCTAACTGAATATGAACTGAAGGTGATATATTAATTGAAATTGTTAAGGTAGCGCATGGAATTAAGCTTTACTTAGGTTTTTTTTTTCGAGTACTTTAAATTTGCTAGGCGGTGAATTACCATTTATTAGTTTCAGCATTTTTATTTCATTTCCTCCCTCCATTCCCAAAACTTCGACCATTTTGGCCTAATTTTGGTCCCAAAATGATTGACCCATTTGCATTAAAATACCCACCGATTTACAACACTATTTGTGCAAAATTAGCTTCCCCATATAAATTTTTGTTTTTTCATGTTTTTTAACACTTTATCTCTCTATTTTTTTACAAATTCAATGTAAATTTATCTTTCCAATATGTTTTTATTTCTTTTGTTAAGTTCTTAATAATTGCGAAATCAACCCAAAAGGGTCGAAGTTTTGGAAACGGAGGGAATACTAGCTTATCAATTTTAGCTAGCTTATTAGTTTGAGTTTTGGTAAGGTTTCATCAAATGAAACCCAACTTCCATTTCATGTGCTCTTTGTTGACTTTAAAAAAAAAAAAAAAAAAAAAAACAACCGTGGTAACCACAAACTTTTATTTTTTCTAAGTGGTAAAATCTAAAACTTTTGATTATCAATAGCAATCACAAATTAATTTTACTAAGCAATTGGTAACATTCGTGACAATAAACACATCATTTTTATTATTAAATTTTTGGGTATCACCAGTAAACCCAAAAAAAATATTAAAAAAAAATTGTCTCTCTAGAATTAGTTCGTTAATCATTGTCAGTTTCTTTTCCCATAGAGTTGTACTTCTTAGTTAAGTTTCTTAATTTCCACGAATTTTCACCATAAGGGATGGAGGGAGTATTAGTTATGGGGCTTGTTCGACACTAGATTTTGAGTAGCTTTTAGTGGTTTGACTTATTCAAACCACTACATAGAAAAAATTATGAGTGTTTGTGAATGTAGTGGTGGGGGTAGAGTTTAGTGGTTGAAGTAGTTTTTGTGAAAAGTTAACCTAATTAACTTTTGTGAAAAGCTAGGTAGCTGTTGAATTTTCTTCTACTTTTTTTAGAATTTTATAGTTAACTGCTAGTTTACCAAACACTCATACTGAATTATTTATTTTCACAGCTAACAGTTAGTTGACTGCTAATAGCTACACATACAGCTAACAGCCACCATCACAGCTAACAGCTACCTCTACAGCTACATTTTGCCGAACACGCACATGATAAACACATTATAATATACACTTCTTGTAGATTGATTTTAAAAGAGATATTAGCAAGGTTTGTCCACGAGATTAGGGGTGAGCAAAAATTCCGGGTACCTGGAATTGGAACCGGCGGGTCCGGAACCGGAATTGGACCCGGGGGTTCCAATTTCAGGTAATAAATTAAGGACCCGGTTATAACCAATTCCAATTCTAATTCTCAACTTTTTGGAACCGGAACTAGTTGGGTACCCGGTTACCTAATATATGCTAAACGAAATATATTTTAAATAATAAAAATATGTTAAATGTATTTAATTTGTAAATTAAAAAGGAAAAATGGAAACTAAAAATCCAACCTTTGAGCGGTTTGACAATAAAAATCCAACATTTCATTAATCTCAAAAAAATCCAACCTTTACACCCCACCTTCATCTAAAGATCCATTACCTATTGATGCCTGATTTTTGGTGGAAGTAGAAATGAAGTCTTGAGATGCATTAGCAAATGCATCTTCAATAGAACGTGGGTATGGGGAAAACGGAGTAGGACCCAATTGTCAGTGTAAAGTGATGTAGCCTAAAAAAAAAGGAAAAGGTTGTATAAGGGTATATGGTATAATACAACATTGTAATACTAAATTTCTTTTTACTTTTTGTTATTTTTGACCCTTGAATTAGTTGTTTGACTCCAATGTCTTCATTTTGTTTTTTACTTTTGACAGTCAACCCAAATTTCATGGTTTACCATTTTTACTCCATTTTTTGTTTCTTGAGGAGGTAAGTTCAGAGAGGGCGGGCAAGACTTCATGATTGAAAATGGCAAGGAAGATGCTAGTGATGGAGGATCCGATCTTAACAAACCGTACGGAGGACTGTGATGAGCTCTTCGGTGGTGGTAGCGGCCGCATTTTTGGTGACGATGTCGACAACAACGCTACCATTGAAGACCAAGTGGAGAACGATAAAGGCGAGGAAGATGAATTGGAGTTTGCTTTAGACGCATTGCTAAAGGAGGTAATTGTTAACACATTAATTCGTAGCTTAGCTTAGCGTTTACTGAAAATTTATGAAAACCTAAATTATAACAACATAATTAAAATAAGAGGAATAAATTAAGGGACTTTCTTTATAGGCTTTAATCAAAAAATAAGAGTAACAGGGGAGTGAGTGAGGAGCTATTTTGAACAGGGGAGTGAGTGAGGAGCTATTTTGAAGCACGAATAAATGACAATTGTGTATATAGAATTAATTGTAGCTAAATTAATTGTAGCTTTCTCAACCCAACTAGGACATACGAGTGTTGTCAAGTGTTGGCAGATACTTATATTAGTAGAACAAACTCCATTCTCTAATATTTAACATTCATGTTGAAAGGAAAGGCTTGCATTGAATACAAAACAATGACAGTAATATTTTAATATATTAACACAAGATAGAATTGAATTATTTATTACTCTGAAAAAAGAAATTAATAAGTAGAACCTGTAATTGTTCCATATATTTGATTTATATTGGATGCAATGCTTGTTTAAAGTGTGTTATTGTTTTAAGTATGTAGCATACCAATTTTTGCAGCAGGGATTATTTATTTATTGAACAGTTTTTCTGTTAAAAGTAGAATTATACTATACTTGGTGTTAATGTATAGATTATTGATTTAGTGGAATAGGTAAATGTTGGAGAAGAGTCCTACAAGACTCCTACGAAAGGGAAGAGTACGGTGGCCATTAGTTTTGAGATCGAGGAGTTTGCAAATGTAGAGGTTTCTCTCCCCCCTCCTAAAGTTGGAATGGTTTTTGATAGTTGGAAAAAAATAGATGAATACTTTCGGAATTACGGGAAGCAAGAAGGTTTTGGGGTTGTTCGATCTAGTGGAACCTTTGTAGGAAAAGGTGTTAATGCGAAGGAGAAGAAGAGTGTCACATGGACATGTGAGTGTTTTGGTATGCCCGGTAGGAAGAGCAAGAAAACCGGTCCCGCCTTTGTCTCGGATTCACAAATAGGTGAGGAACTTTGTGTTAAAAGGAAGAGTAAAAAAGTTCAATTCCCGGTGAAATTATATGCAAAGGTGAATGAGGGTGGTGATTGGTTAATTGATAAAGCCGAGCTAGAGCATAAAGGTCACGCACCTACACCGGGGAAGTCCAAGAACATCACCAAGTTTAGGAAGAAGTTCTTGACGGACAACCCGCATATACTTCGACAAGTGTTTAATGATCGGAAGGCGGGTGTTCTGGTTGCAAAGATATACAATTGTATGGCCCGCCAACGAAATGGGAGGGAAGATATGCAATTCACCCAAAAAGATTTGCATGATGAAGTAGCGAAGCAAAGGAGAATTATTTTTGAAGAAGGAGATGCGAAGGCAATGTTTGCCTACTTGAAGAGGATGACGGATGACAACGAGAATTTTGTTTTACACTCATCGTGTCGATGAGTTGGGTAGGCTCCAAGATGTGTTATTGGTTGATGCTAGGAGCCGGGCCGCGTATGAAGAGTTTGGAGATGTTGTATGTTTTGATTCGACGTACTTGACCAACGAATATAAGCTTCCCTTTTGTAATTTCGTGGGTGTGAATCATCACGGGCAAACCATTTTGTTTGGGTGCGCTTTAGTTTCCCGCGAGACCGCGGAAACATTTGAGTGGGTGTTCTCTAATTGGTTGCGGTGTATGGGTGAAAAGCAACCAATTAGTATTCTAACGGATCAAGATCCGGCAATGAAGAAAGCTTTGAAGTTGACTATGAAAGGAACCACTCATCGATGGTGCATTTGGCACATAACCTCAAAATTTGGTAAGAAACTTGGGAAGCATTCTGATTATGCCCAACTTCATGATGATCTTGAGAATGTAATATATGATAGCCTTGATGTTGAAGAGTTTGAGGCTAATTGGCCCCAAGTTATCAAGAAACATGGTGTTGAAGAAGATGAATGGCTACAAGGTAAGTGTCGAAACACAATATTTTTCTGTCCATTCTATGGTGTGTATGCGTCAAATATGGTCCTTTATGCATAATTATGTTATACTTGCATGTAAGTCCTTTAAATAAAAAAGGTACAAAAATTCTGGTCAGTTTCTTTGTATTTTTAGGTCAGGGTATGGTTCAGCACTTGCCCTTTAATCTGTAGTGGTGCATTTGCTTATAGTTATTCACTCAAAAGTTATGAATGATATATATTTTTGTTGTTAGGGCTGTATAATGAACGTCATATGTGGGTTCCCGCTTTTGTGAAGCATTTGTTTTGGGCTGGGATGAAAACAACTCAACGGGTTGAGAGTATTCACAGGTTTTTCGATGGTTATTTAAGTATGCATACTTTATTGTCCGAGTTTGTTGAGAGGTATTGTGATGCTTTGGAGGTTAGATGCACTAGTGAGAAAAGGGCGGATGACAACAATGACAGGTTTTTGCGTCAAACATACTCTGATTTTCCGGCTGAGTTGATATTTCAAAAGATATACACGGATGCCAAATTTAAGGAGGTTCAACGTGAATGCAATCGTACTATGTATGTGAGTGAGATTCATAGGACACATGTGTCAGACAATGTAACGGAGCATTTTGTGGAGGATCGAGTTTGGTATAAGCCAAAAAAATCCAACAAAGAAATACCGTCAAAGAGAAAAAGAGAGTATAAGCTTGTGTTTGACAGGTCAACGAAGGAAGTATCTTGTGAATGCCGACATTTTGAATGTCATGGGATTATTTGCCGCCATATCATTAGGGTGTTCGAGAGGAACAACTTCTATGAAATACCAGACAAGTACATTCTTCGGAGGTGGAGGAAAGACGTGATACGAAAACACAGTCGGGTTAAGGTATGCTACCATGACCCGGATAAAACTGAAGAAGTGTATAGGTACGACAAAATGATGGTGCGGTTTGGTCCTTTGTGTTCGAAAGCATCGGCTATTTAGAAACTACTCTTGTGATGCAAGCTATGCAATTAATTGAAATGCAAGTAGAGGAAAAGATAGCCATGCTTGCAAAGAAGAAGAAAGGTGAAGGTGTCTTGGGAACACCTTCTTCTGTGTGTGCTGAAAAGCAAGCAACCCCCTCCACTCAAAGACATGGCAGTTGCGAAGGAGGTGAAGATGTTCCTGCTGTTCATGTGAGAGATCCTCCTATACCAAAGAGGCCTGCACATAGGACCACGGATTCTAGGTACAAGTCGTGCCTTGAGAAACCAAAGAAAGCAAAGACAACAAAGGACAATCAGGGGAAGAACAAGAACAAGAACAAGAACGGTTCTCAATCCCAAGTTACACCACCTCCACCAGTCCAGGTAAATATTTATTTATTTGGTTACCTAGAATGGTTAATTATGTATGTAAATTTCAGTTTATATTATATGGATTAATGCAGTAGGGGTCTTACTTGGTTTGTATAATGTCTTTATTTTACCTAATTTCCTTTTACAACTAACAGGGTGTTCCTCCGCAAAATATGCAACATATGGTTCCTGAAAATGAAAATCAGTTCAAAAAAGAAAATGAATCGGAAAAAAAATAAAATAAAAACCCAGAAAATCGAAAAAAAAAAATCAGTTCAAAAATCCAAAAAAAAACCCAGAAAAACGGAAAAAAAAAAATCAGTTCAAAAACCAAGAACATCAATTACAACCCAGAAAATCAAATAAAACCCATAACATCAATTAAAACCCAGAAAATAAAATAAAAAATCGACAAAAAAACCCAGAAATTAAAAAAAATTCGAATTAAAATAAGTTTAAAATTTGATTAACCAAACTAGAAAATCGAAAATCACTTTAAAAAAACAAATTTAAATCGATTAAAATAAAAAAAAAATCGATTAAAATAAAAGAAAATTCGAAAAATCAGTTAACAATCCAGAAAATAAAAAAAAATCTAATTAAAATCAAGAAATTATACCCTAACCTTGCTCATGCATGTGTTCGTGGTGGATTAAACAAATTTTTTTTTAAAGAAACCCATAAAAAATTTCGAAGACACTCATCAAATCAATTAAACCCAAAATCAACTTCGAACAAACCCAAATCAACTTGATGTTACGGTGGTGGCGGTGGCTTTGCGGTGTTGTTGTTGCATGTTGTTGTTGTTGCGGTGGTGTTCGAAGAGAAAGAGAAGAGATTAAGGGAGAGCAGAGGAGAGATCGAGAAGGGAGAGCAGAGGAGAGAGAAAGGAGTGAAGAGGCGGAGTGAGAGGAGAGTTAAGGAGATCGGTTTTTTAGGGTTATAAAATGAGAGGAGGCGGCCGGTTTTTTTTTAAAATAATTAAAGGTCCGGTTCACAAAGGCACCGGTTCAAACCGGTGGCCTTTATGATTTTGGCATCGGTTTGAAGTGAACTGGTGCCTTTTACTCTGGTTTAGCTTCCCACCAATTTTGTAGGCCATTTTTGGCACCGGTTTGGACTGAACCGGTGCCAATTAGGGGGTGCCTTTTTGATATTTTCTACTAGTGGTATCATGTTAGGGTTAAAGATTTGATTTTTATTGCTTAGTGACATGCTAGAGTTTGTTATTAATCTTGTTAGTATCATGCCTAGGATCTTGCTATTATTATTATGCTTTAACATGATCTATGATTATTTTTATAATTGCTTTGATTATGATTATAATTTTATTATTGTTATAATTATTATTATTATGATCAACATGATTATTATTATGATTAGTATGATTGTTATTATGATGATTATTCTTAATTATATTTGTGATGATTATAATTATTATATTGATAATTTATTATGTTGCTTGATATTTATTGTTATTGCTTAATCACACCTTTTATGCATGTTTAAAGGGAATTAGTACTTGTAATCATGCTTAATAAGATAATTAATAATCTTGTTTAGGGTTAATTTGATTATAATTCAAGTGATTGCCAATAATAGATTCGTTTGTGCATTATATTCAACCAACATAGATAAACAGGTTTAGGAATAATCCTATTGATTGCATGTTAGTCGAAAAGCGCACATGAATACGATCAGAATAAAGTAGAGGCCTATTATTAGGGCAGGTTCAATCTCTTTTAGGTTGGATTTTTACCTTCATCCTCGAACCCTTATTTGGTTCTAGACCTTATGGAGTTGACGATCTCCTAGATCGTTAAGGGGTGTAACCTTCACCTCGTGGACGGTTTACAAGTTCCTAAAACTTGTTGGCGACTCTTTTGCTCTATCTTCCTTCCCTTTGGACGCCACCGTACTTTAGTTTATGATCACAGTGGGGTTCGAGCTAGGGGTTAACGCTTGAAATTTATTCCCTACAATGAACAGTCACGAGAAACTGGAAGAAGGTTACTCTACGCAGCGTCCTCCTATGTTCAATGGGAAGTTCTATACCTATTGGAAGAACAGGATGGAAATTTTTATCAAAGCTGACAACTACCAAGTTTGGAGAGTTATTGAAGTTGGTGATTTCGAAATACCCAAAACCGTTGGTGAAAATGAGAAAATACCTATTGATGAGGAGGTCAAGAAAGTTCTAAGGAGCCTCCCTCAAGATGAAAGATGGAGAGCCAAGGTGACTGCCTTACAAGAAACTAAGGACTTCACGAAATTTAACATTGAGCAACTTGCTGGTTCCCTCATAATTCATGAGTTGCACTTAGGAACAAGCAATAGTGAAGGGAACAAAGGAAAAGGCTTAGCTCTCAAAGCTGGTGATCAAGAAGAATCTGAGGTGGATGAAGAAGAGGCGGCTATGTTGGTGAGAAGGTTTAAAAGAATGTTCAATCAAAATAATAGAACAAGGAACTTCACCAAAAAGTCCTCTAACTCAAAAGCTGATTCTGGATGTTACAAATGTGGATCCCTAGATCACTTCATTCGTGAATGCCCTTTGTGGGAAACTGAGAAAGGAAAAGGGAGGCTAAGGAACAAAATAAGAGCAACAAAACTCCTTACACCAAAGCAAACATTAGAAAGGCTATGATTGCTGCTTGGGGAGATTCCGAGAGTGATGATGAGGAGGAACAACCTAAAGAAGAAACAACCAATCTATGTCTAATGTCCAAACGTGATGAAAAGGCTTACAATGAAGAACTGGCTAAAGAGGTACGTGTTGATCCCAATCACCTTAGGACTCTTCCTAAAGAAGTACTTATTGATTTCATTTTAGAAATGGAAGATGACAGGATAATTGATTATAAAAAGCTGAATGAATGTGAAAAAGCTCTTAAAGTCTACAAGGAACACATTACCTGGATCGAGAACCAGTGTACTGATGCTCAAGGCAGGTTCTTTGATCTTTTTGACAAGAATCCTCTTCTAAAAGAAATGAATGAAAAACTCAAGTATGAAAATATTATGGTTAATGTAGAACTAACTCAATACAAGCTTGCCAGTACTGACTTTAAATTGTCAAGTTCCTCTTCTGAATCATTTCCTAAATTTAATTAAGATTTTGAAAAATTAAAACACAATCTTGATGAGTTAATAATTGAAAAGGCAAATTTAGAAAAGGAGCTTGCAATCAGAAAAGAAAGAAGCACTGGTCAGCTTGGTATACCTAAATGGATTGAGAATGCTCAAACCAAAAGAACTGAAGGACTGGAATACATTCGATCTAAGCATAAAGGTAAAAAGAAATATGTTGATTTACCTAGCTATAAAGTGTGTTCCTTTTGTGGGAAAACAGGTCACTTAGTGGATACTTGTTATAAGAAGGAACAATCTGTTAGTAAGAATGTTAAGCAAGTTTGGGTTAGAAAATCTGATATTGCTTCAACGTCCAAGGAACCCAAGGAAACCTGGGTTCCTACAACTAATCAATGAGTTCTTTTGCAGGTCCTAGTGAGGGGGAACAACACGTGGTACCTCGACAGCGGTTGTTTAAAGCATATGACAGGAGACAAATCAAAATTCCTCTCACTTGAGACCTATTCTAGAGGAACTGTGACCTTTGGAGACAACAAGAAAGGATAAGTTATTGCAAAAGGAAAAGTAGGAAGGTCAACTTCCCATTCAATTGAAAATGTACTTTTGGTCGAGGGTTTGATGCACAATTTGCTGAGCATATCACAATTTTGTGACAAAGGAAACTCCGTAAGTTTTACTTCTGATTCATGCAACATCATTAATGACAAAACAGGAAGGGTTGTTCTTGAAGGAACTAGAAAAGGGAACACATATATTGTGGATCTCAATTCTATCCCAAGGAACAACCTAACATGCACGAGTGACATTAATGATGATCCTTTATTATGGAATAAGCGTTTTGGACATGCTAGTTTCTCACTCATGGATAAACTTAGAGCGAGGAACTTGGTCATAGGGCTTCCCTCAGTCAAGTTCCTCATACAACGTATTTGTGATGCATGTGTGAGAGGAAAGCAAGTCAGGTCATCTTTTAAAAGTAAAAACTTGGTGAGCACCACAAATCCATTGGAACTCATTCACATAGATTTGTGTGGTCCTATGCGTGTTCAAAGTAGAAGTGGAAAGAAATATGTTCTAGTTATTATTGATGATTTTTCTAGATTTACCTGGATGATTTTTCTGTCTAGCAAGGATGAAAACTTCGATGAATTTGTGTCATTCGCCAAGAAAGTGCAGAAAACTAGTGGAAATCAAATTATCCACATTCGGTCAGATCATGGAACTGAGTTCGAAAATTCAAGATTTGATGAGTTCTGCAAAGAGAATGGCATGGATCATAACTTCTCAGCCCTAAAAACTCCTCAACAAAATGTAGGGCTGGAAAAAGCTGACCCGACCCGAACCCAACCTGAAAATAACGGGTTAGGGTTGAGATTTTCGACCCGAAAACTTAAATGGGTCAACACGAACCCGGCTTGAAAATTAAATGGGTTAGGTTAAGGTTGAAATTTTCAACCCGAAAACGACCCACTTAACCCGAAATTATATTTTCGACATGATAACCCAAACTAATACGGAGTATACGTTAAAACCAAAAAAAAAAAATTAAAA